CTATATGCTTGTTGATACACAAATTCTGGACTCGATAAGGTTCTGGACTCCGCCAGTTGTTGATGTCTCCTTAGTCGTGAAATCCATGTGGGACATTTGGGAATAAGCCTTACACGTTTTAAACTTCTTGTTCGCGATCATCATCTTGCTGGGGTGAATTTTCATTGGTTCGTTACTCTAGCTCTGCTAGGTACTTTTAGGTCTGGGTAATGTCAAGAGAATTCGGCTTAAAGTTGTTTTCTGTAGCGAATTGTTTATCGTCCATCTCGCGTCCCTCTTTAGTAATTGCGTATTAATGCACTTCATGCGCCTTCTTGCTAAACCTGCCTGAGTAAGCACTGGCCGAGGTTCCAGTGCAGCACTTATGGTACGGAGCTCTGGATATGGTTTGGTTCTTCTTCTTTTGGTTGTCGGACTGAATGAAGCTGGTTCTGCAACAGGCGCCCGCCACCTCAACTGCGTGACACCTAAGGTCCACACGCTGTCATGTTCAGCGTTGGCTCCAGACAGCCAGAGGCCAGGCGATTTCACCATTTTCATGGGTGTCTGCTTAAGACATACGTTATTTCATGCTGCCAGGTTAACTGGGAATGTCACTTCGCAGGTAGTTACCGAGATGACTGTTTCCTGCAGGTACTTTTTTGTACCTAAAGAAATAATAAGAAATAATCACCCGGTTGTAGGGAAGGTAGGATGTAGGATATAATTGAGTTTTTTTTTAAGTTGATGGAAACGAGGTGTCTACGCATTCGGTAGCGATAATCAATTTGCTAATTAGACAGATAGGTGATTGTCGACCAGACGCATTATTATCATCATTATTAATTTGAAAAGAGGTATCTGCTTTTGATATGAGTTCCGGCTTGAAAAAACCCAATTTAGTAAAAGTTCATCTATGAGGTTGTTCTTTTTTTTAGTCACACACGAAACAGAAGTATCTAAAATTCCATTCCTATTTACCTTATTTAGTTTAGTTATAAACTTGTTGCGTTAGTTTATATTAAAGACCTATACGTCTGGTATAAATGCACAAACTGTAGGGCTCATTATGACATTTTCAAAAAGGAAAGATAGAAATATAAGAAGTTTTTATCTGATTATCATAAGTCAATTAATGACAACAGAATAGCAAACTCAAATAATAAAATAAAATCTGCGTGGGCAATTATAAATTCCGAATCCAATAAAAATAAAACTAAAACAAATATCTCACTGAACTGAAGGTACATGGAATGTCAGTTGATGACCCTAACGCCTTGGCTCAGCTCTTTGCTAATCATTTCGATCCGTCTTTTTATCCTCTGACTGAATACGTTATTGAACATAATGGTAACTCTCCATTTATTTTTCTGGAGCCAGTTGACCCACAGGAGATTTTCAGAATTTTGATGTCGCTCCCTAATAAGTATTCTTCGGGTCTTGTGTTTAAATGTGTAGCTCTCTGTATGTCTGAGCCTTTGTCTGATGTTGCTAATGAGCGTCTTTCAAGTATTTCCTGATGTTCTTAAAAGGGCTAAAGTACGTGGTTCCAGTGTTTAGGAAAGGAAATAGTCAGGATATTGGAAACTACCGTCCAGTATCAGTTCTGCCTGCTGACTCTAAAGTATTTGAGAGGGTTATTTATTCAAGAGTGTTGAATCATCTGTAGACATAACATATTGAGCAAGCAACAATTTAAATTTATTTCTGAAATTTCCACTGATATTGCAATTTTCCATGCAATGAAATACATAACTGATGCTGTGTATACTGATCAATTATGGTGTTAGAGGTGCTGCAGCGGATCTGCTGAAGTCTTATTTATTGGGCAAGAGGCAGGCTGTTTGTGTTGTCAGGGATGGTGGTCAGTCTTTTTCTAGAATGGCCAGTTTAAGGCAGGGTGTCCCGCAGGGTTCCATCCTAGGTCCCATGTTGTTCTTGTTGTATGTCAATGGATTAGCTGAGGGGTTTCCATCTGAGGTCATCTGTCAGTTGGCCCATGACACCTCTGTTGTGGTAGTTTGACCTAATAATGGCGACCTCTCTCAGAGCTGTTCGGATGCCGCCCTGAGAATGAAAGAGTGGTGTATTGGGAAGAACCTGAGTTTGAACAGCAAGAAAACAGGTTTAATAGTTTTTTCCAAGACTCAAAATAACTTGGAGTCTCTTCTTGTTCGAATGGATGGAAGAACTGTTTGGCTCACTGAGTGAAAAAAGTTTCTGGGACTCCATATTGCCCCTGATCTGAAATGGAGAGTTCATATTGATTCGCTTCAGTTGAGGTTGAGTAGGTTGTATGGTCTCCTGAGACGACTGAGACTGGTAATTTCACCCGAGTTGGTTCGGCTATTCTACTTTGGTCAAATCCAATCAATTATTAGTTATGGAATATGCTTTTAGGGCGCACCAAAGGGGGCACCGCTCGTTTTCAGACTTCAGAAGTGAATCCTGAGATGTATCCTGGGCCTACATCCTAGAGCCTCTTGGCCCTCTTGTAGACCATTTTTTACTGAGTAAGGAGTGTTGGCTATTCCATCAATGTACTTTGCATCCTTGGTGATGTTTGTAAAGCGGAATATTCACGTTATGTTTCCTTCCAATGAGGCATATGATGGAGTTGATATGGTTATGGCGACTAGAAACAGGGGTGACTTGAGTATTCCTCTCCATTGCTCAACATTTTTTGAGAGAAGTTCTTATTTCATGGGCATTAAGGCTTATAGAATGTAGCCAGACAACATAATAGTTATTAACGTTATAAGGCCGATAAGTAGCAAATAACGGCTGGGCTGAAGTTTGTGATCCGAGGCGATAGCCGAGGATCATAATCAGCCAAGGCTGTTATTTGCTTTTAAACTGTAGATATCTTCCAATCTGACAAAAAAGAACTCTCCCGGCCAGCGGCCGTTATTTTAACTGCCGGCGGCCTGTTATTTATATTTAACTGGCCGGCGGATAAATAACGGCTGGCGGTTTTTGAATATACCTTTTCAATTTCGCTCATGTTATATTAAGATAACAGTACAGTATCACGAAAAAGCAATTGAAAATGTGGATAGATTTAAGCAATTCAGTCTACCAGTGGTTGCACCTCAAATGTTTTTATTGTTTCAAATTTACATTTTAGTACTGTTTTTTATATTGTGTATCAAAAATCCTACTTTTGCATTTTATTTTATTTTAGCACTGTGTGCCAACTAATTGTTGTGTATTTTTAGGTACCTATACCCTAAAACATAGTGATTGTCTGTATTGATAATAGCTGCTTAGATCAGCCTTGTGACGTTGCTTGTATTGTTTTTATGCAATTTTTGTTGGCAATAAAGAATATTATTATTATTATTATTATTATTATTATTATTATTCTGGTGTATCACACAATTTGCTAATTAAATTCAAAATATTTTTTGTTCGTACCGAGGTTCGTACTGAACTAATCCAAAAAGTCCTCTCAAGGAATAACTAATGGTGTCATTTGCATACAAAATAGATATAAAAAATTCAACAATACCTCTAGGTCTGAGTCATTAGAAACAATGTTGAAAATAAAACTTGAAATATTCCTAATGAAAAAAAAAAAAACAGTAGGTAGGATGTTTTTGGCAAAATTTTAATTATGGAAAAATACTGCAAGTGCAAAATTAATTACTTTCCTTATCAAAATACATAGGAAGCTTGCAACAATAATGGTATTGATAAGATGAGGGGCATTTTTAACAATAATTACTACCTACCAAAGTACCTACCTACTGTCAATTTATTATGCGTTTGTTCATTTCCGTTTATTACACAGAGTTGTGCTTTGAGGGATACATGTACAATTATATAGGTAATGTCGCATATTTTTGTATTACAAAAACGAATGATAAGAAGAATTTAACTTTTTTACAAATTGTATAGAATGTATTGTGTATAAGTATCTAGGTTGAATGGGTAAGCAACAATAAAGCATAACAATGTCATAAGGTATGGGTTTAATTTGTATCTAAACATGAAACCACCTTATATTATTATGAAAAAAGACCTTTTACTGCATAGGATATTAAAATGTATAATTCTCTCATCAACTATCAAAGAACTAGGGCCATACAAAAAATTTGAACAAGTCTTTAAACGGTTCTGTAGTTCACATTCTTTTTATGGAATCGATGAATATTTTGCTGATCAGAGGGCGGCAAATGTATAAAAAAAACATTATTGCTGACATTTGTCATTTGAATTAAGTTGGAATTTGGTATTATTTAATCTAAGTCCTGACCATAAATTTGTTTAAATGCAATATATGTTTTTTTTTTTTTAATTCTTAATGTACTTAGTATTTGAGTTGTTACAGCTAGGCTGAATAAGACTAACGACCCGAAGGTAATTTGACGTATGGGTGTCAAAGTATCGAAAATTCTGATATTCATACGTATTCGTTACTTTTGTCTTTTGATATTGATATTCGTTACTCATTACTTTCGTTACTCTGGTATTTATGAGATAGGGAAGATACATACCTATGCGGAAGAGTAGAAAAGTGACTCATTCCATTCATTCCGATTATCGAATAAGTATTGTCGGGATTCGTATTTGGTAATAATAAATTAAACACATGTTAGAAAATATTTTTTATTTGTTTTTAGAATTTATATAAAAAATCTTTGGTGGTACTTAAATGTCCAAAAAAAAAATAAAAAATCGACTAAGTAACGAACACATACAGTTTGCCATAGCACGAATTTGGTGGGCAATAAGGATTTTTACTGGATATGGTGCTTCCATCCCAAATTTTTTTTATGCAGAATTCAATTGAAGGTTTTCACTTTCCTTGTTCCGCACGTATCAGCTAACGTCTATTTACGAATACCGTCATTATTTTTCGAGGGACTTATAATGATTAATTTCAATTAGAATTAGTTGTAACGTGTGACGAACCTGACGGGGTGCACTTTGGATTTTAGGTTGGATCAATTAATTCCTTGTAAAGTTCGGCTACGTTACCTAATTAGCTTGTTTTTTTTGCTGTTTCGAATATTGTCTAATTATGTCTCCTCCCCTTAATTGTTATGTTATAAAGTTAATTTCAAACTCGTTAAGAAAGCAATAGTTTTAAACAGTGTATTTCTATTTCTAAACCTGGCCAGTTTATTATTTGAACAAGCATCGAAAGTACGTTCGTTGAAAACTTGAAATTTTGTAGTGCTGCTTTCATAGTTGTTTAAGTTTTTCTCAGGTGAACTTTTTATTTCTATTTTGCATTAGATAATAGGTACATTCATAATATTTACTGCACATTAAAAATACAAAATTACTTCTGCATTGTTGCCTGTAATTTTGCTATTTTTGAAAGAAAATAAATGTTCCCTTTCACTCTCAAAATATTTATTATTTCCGCATTCACTAACATGATGGAAGTATGTATAATGTACCAGTTACCCTTTTTTTTCGCCTAATCAGGCTCAAAATGTTCCAAAACATCACATTGATTGATGTGAATGGAAATAAATACAATTTTTTTTTAATAATTTATTCAAGAATGGAAATATGTAATAATTGCAATCGTTCACTGCATAAAAAAAAAACAATATCAAATATAGATTTTGTATGTGGCAGAGTGAGTCAATTCTCAAAAAAAGGATTGCAATGTTTTTAAGTTTATGACAGTTGATACTTGAATAAATGTCCAAAAATTTCATTATTCATATTGAAATGCACTCTTCTAGGAGTATCCAGAATTTTTAATTGTGTATAAATTTCTAGAGAATTACCTGTCAGTACCGAGGTCAGTACAATTAATTTAAAATTTAGGTATGGCTTTTTTTTTGATGATTTAAAAGGTAAAATCTTTTTATCTTTTTAATTACTTAAAAACTTTTTGCAATAAAATTGTCATCATTATCATTTAACTGCTGCTAAATTGAATAATTTTCCGAAAATATTGGTTTTTAAGATACAGGGTAAAATTTTTTCAAACATGGGGCACCCTTGGTATCCACATATTAATGGCAAATATAAAAACTGATTCTTGTATAAGTTTTCCTGAGTTGTTTACATAGAATTTAGTGTCAAAAATTAAATAGTTATTTATATCATTAGGCCAAGAAGTGGGTCTTTGCTGAGCTCAACGTTTAAAAGCCAACGCAATATTTCACACAACTTCATCACTGCTGGTTTTTTATCCATGTTCGGAAACATAACCAGTTGACACTTTAAATTTACGACATGTCAGATTGGTTTATTTTAATTTTAAATGTCAAATCAATATTAGGTTAAATATTTTACTGGTCCGAACATGGAAGCTCGTGAAAGCGAGTCTACACATCAATTTGGTAATCTGTATTAATTTATGCAATAATTTAGGCCATAATATTGAACAAAAAATGTAAAACGAATAAATTAGTGCAAATTGTGCTCTTGGAGTAGGTAATTCCCAAACTCGGTTGTTGACTCTGCCATCTAGCCAGAAAAAAACACTAAGTTAATTACAAGAACATAATATCGCTGATTGCCGCTGCTGCTGCTAGTGAGAATAAAAAAACCAAATACCCCATACATAAAAATCTTTATGGTCAAGTGTTGACGGCAATATATTTATACAGTGTGGAGGAATGACCACCCTTCTTAAATTTTTATTTTTTGACCGATTCAATTTATTTTGTTTTTTGTCTCATATCTACTCGAATTTGACACTTATTAAGCTCATAATAATTTTATTTCTGCGGCTTTACTGGTGTAAAGGGTGTCCACATTTATAGGCTCAAATGATCACGACAAATTTTCAAAATTCGATGGATTAAACCGCATAAATGTCATATTTTGAGGCCTTGAGAGCAACAAAACTTGATACAACATTGTCTTAGAACATCCTCAATCAAAACTTGTAGTAAGCTTGGCTCAAAATATGTCATTTTTGCGGTTCGATTCATTAAATTTTAAATTTTTTTTGTGATCACCCTGTATCGTATTGGAACAAAAATTAGTACATTTGGGTTTTAGACCATTCTAAAAAAATCCCTAATATGTAGTTATTATTGAAATTTAAGCCTATAAATATGGACACCCTGTACACCAGTACAGCCGCAGAAATAAAATAATAAGCCTAATAGGTGCCAAATTCAAGTAGATAAGACAAAAAACAGAAATTGAATCGGTTAAAAAATAAACAATTCAGAAGGGTAGTCAGTCCTTGAAGCGATACACACTGTATATATTTTTTTACGCTTGATTACTTGATTGTTTGTTTAAGGGCCGGTTTATTCACCTTCTGATAAACTGTCAAGTATGCAGTTTGATGGATAAAACGCAATCTGTAATCCCATTGGTCGGCCAGTTATCCGCCGACCAATAAAATTATAGAGCGGTAAATTTATCTTGCAGATAGTTATTTATCACCAAGTTTTTCTGAAGATGAATAAACCGAGCCTAAGTATAGTAAAATAATATACTACCTGAAGTAAACTTTGTCTAAAGCTACGCAGTGGTGGCGATATGCATAAGCGGATATAAGCGATGCTTGGTGGCCCGGGCATGAAGGGTAGTAAAGTAGAAATATTTTTATTCTATAAAAATGCTTTAAATTAAAATTGAGAAATATAATGACCGATATCGATCGATATACTTAACTGGTACATTCCTTCCAGTTGCCACCGCTGAAAGGTCATTTAGTAAATTAAAAATATTGAAAAAATACTTGAGAAATTCGATAAGTCAGCATACACTGCATGATCTTTCTATTCTGTCTATCAGACATATCACGGCATTCGATATGGATATGCGGTATTTAGTTGCTTCAAAAAAAATTATCCGATGGATGAAGGAGCCATAGATAATCAAAGTTTGAAATATTACCGGCTCTTGATTCTCTGGAAAAGCTTCCTAGAGTCAATCAAGAGCCGGTAATAGTCAAAATTTGAACTTTTATCAGCTCTGGATTTCCAAGAGAATTTTTCTAAGGGCGTTCAAAACTCAAGAGCCGATAATAATCAGAATTTCGAATGATCATCAGCAGCTCTTAAGTTGATTATAATCAAAATCTCTTCTTCCGCAGCTTCTAATTGGCTCAAGAAAAATTGCCACAGATAATCAAAATTTGAACTATTGCCGGCTCTTGATTCTCTGGAAAACCTTCCTAGTCCCAATCAAGAGCCGGTATAGTCAAAATAATTTGTACTTTTATCAAGTCTGGATTCGCAAGAGAATTTTTCTAAGGGCATTCAAAGCTCAAGAGCTGATAATAATCAGAATTTCGAATGATCATTAGCAGCTCTTAAGTTGATTATAATCAAAATCTCTTCTTCCGCAGCTTCTAATTGGCTCAAGAAAAATTATCCAATGGACCAAGAGGCACAGATAATCAAAATTTGAACTATCACCGGCTCTCGATTCTCTGGAAAACCTTCCTAGCACCAATCAAGAGCCGGTAATAGTCAAAATTTGAACTTTTATCAAGTCTGGATTCACCAGAGAATTTTTCTAAGGCCATTCAAAGCTCAAGAGCCGATAATAATCAAAATTTCGAATGTTCTTTAGCAGCTCTTAGGTTGATCTTCTGAGTAGTAGGTAAAGGTAATTTTAAGGATTAAAGGGCGACATTTTGGGCATTTTAGGAAATCTCCGTCTTTTGCTTGGTAAAAATGTTCCTATGTGTTTCTTTGGTGTGGACTAAGCTTAATAGTAATAATATTTGTTGAATTTTTTTGTTATATTTTCAAGTTATGCAAATTGAAAAAAATTTTACAATTGAAATTAGAAGTGATGAACACACGTTTAACGTCATTCAAAATTTCAAATAAACTGAAGTATTTAAATAGCAAAAGATACTGCTGTAGTCAGTGTTGCTCATGCCTGCAATGAAAACTGTTCTTTTAATATTGTTTGTGTTATTGTTTTACTTCGCTGGTTGAAAGTATTCCTTCATTATAAAATCAAAAGGTAATGATAAATTAATAAAATTAATTTCGATTTAAAGGGATTTTATATTTTTTTTCTTTTCTATTTTTTTTTTGTATATTTTATTGTTTTTTTACTTCTCCATAACTGTTAGTCATTTCTTAAATTTTAATTGCTATCATGCAATATGGCCAGAATTTCCAAATGTACCTACCTATTTTTAATTTATTTTTTTTTTTTTTTCTTATTCGCCTTTTTTCAACCTTAGCTGATAGTAAATTGGATGAAAAAGTTACGTTACAGAAAACGATACAAATATTTTTCCTTATTTAGAGGGATTTTTTTTCACATCTTATTTCTCTTTATTGTGTACCTTCTCTTTATATAACGTAGGTACTAACCATATTCAGAATTTTACTTCAGGAGTTAAGTTTGACTCCTGAATCCTGGTTGAGTTTTTAATAGACTTTTCAGGTAACATGTAATTTGCTTTTCAATTACTATGACGTGATAATGTAACTCTTTCAACGGAGTTGATACGCCGTTTAATTAATCAGGCTTTTGAATGTATTAACCAAGAGCAAAAAAACCATCCCTCAGGTCATGTTCAAAAATTTGTAATGCAGAATTTGCGAAAAGGCTCAATTCAATATCGGCCTAATTTTTGAAAGCACACATAAAAACAAACACAAAAAAAAAATACCACCCAAACAACTCGATTTCAACAATTTTGTACGCTTTGACAAATATTATTGCCTATACATAAGATGGACAAAATTACCTTTTACAGATAATGGGCAATTCCGCATATTTCAGCGTAAGATGCGAAATAAGAGAAAATATCAAAAGATTAAATAACCGGCAACAAATTAGCACCAGCGCTGTTCAATAAGACGTGACGTGCATGACGTATTTGAAAGTGCGCCTTTTTCTTATCCATTTTGGAAAATAACACTCTAAAGCAAACTTAATACATACCTAATAATTAAACTAGTTCAATTTATGTTGGGTTTCATATCCGAGATTATACAATAAAGTGGTCTACTTGAAGCATGTGCCTACTTATCTATTAGGTTTTGAAGAAATATTATATTTTGACACAACTGTATACCTTTCTTTAGTTAGGAGCGTTATTAGTAACAAAAAATGGCCATTGTAAAACTTGAGCAAAGTCGTGAAGTACGCAAAGCATTTAATATGTTGTCCGTTTTCCGATATGTATTAAGTCTTGGTGTTTACCGCCAATACACATTCAATTTTTTTACATGTTACCTACAAGCTTCATTTCTCGTAGATTTTCTTTGATCAGCTTTTTTGTCATATATTTTAGCGATCCGTAATCCTGAGCTGTCCAGAGAGTGACATCCTCAAACCATAGCGTGCATTGAGTGGTGTACCCATAATATCACTATAACATTTAAAATTAAAGTTCGAGATAGGCAGCACTCTTGCTCAAGACCTTTATTGGCAGTAAATCCGTTTGAAGTTTTCACCCACCTTATGTTATGTTTTCGTAAAGATTCTTTTATAAGAGTTACTCGAATGTTCGTCTTGTCCCAGGGCTCTTTTTGTGAAACGCTGTCGTAGGCTTCTTGCAGGTGCACAAATTTTTCGTCCTTTTCTTGGGAGATGCAGAATAGATGGGGCTGCTAGTGGATCTTTCTGCTTGTAAGTAAGTTTTTCTGGTTTCTGTTTTTCCAGGTAATAATCTACGCTTGTTCCTAGTTGTTTGTTTGCTAACTCCATCCCATCTACCTTTTTTCCAATTAATATTTAAATTGTATTTGATCTCTGATTTAAATTGTATTTGATATAAATTTTGCAAAAGCGGACGTGTAGTTTGTTCACTGTTTACGGTGACCTACACATTGAAATCTTCGACTCCTATCTGAAAATGTAAATAGAGAAATAATGATAAACAATCATTCCAGTTTTCAGGTTCAACTCGAATGTGAAACTAATATATTTCTATTTTATTTGCAGATTTCAAAATGGCTCATCTCATCACCAGTGTGATAGATAAATATCATGACATTCTAGACAAAAGTGGTAAGTTATAGTTATGTTAGTTGAGTTGATATTACATATAAAATAATATTTTGTACGATCTACGCCAATCAATAATTAAAACAAATAAATTTTTAAATCCGAACTTTTTGTATACCTACACAATATTTTGTGGCAACTCAATAATTATTTTAGATTTATATTAGGTTTTGGAAGTCATAATAATAGCAGTTTTACCAATACATATCCAAAGGATTATTATTAGTCGCGCTTTCAATAGGGGAAAAATTTAAACACAAATTGTTTCAATAATTCATTGATCAATACCGAGTTACAACTTTCTTCGCCTAACAAGGAAGTATTGCGCGCAATTTTCACCTATTACAAAACGGACCAAACTAGATCAGGATGTAGATTGACATAACGTAATCATGGAGCTCAAATCTTAACAAATCGAAAATTAAATTATCAAAACATTAGTAATGCAATAATGATTTTTGTATATTTTGGATGCCATTCGAATTGCAGCAAGGCTGAATTTCATTTATTAATCGCGATGTTTGTGAAGGAGTGTAATTTTATTACACATTTAAATAAATACGACGTTCCTAACGTTACAGTGAAATATTCCACAAAGTACAATTGAAGCAAAATGATGCAGATTTAGGCTATTAGTGTGGATAGAATCAACACGAAAAAAAACAAACCCCGTTTCTGGCTCTAAAAGTTTTTGAAACTCAAAAGCCTAGTTGATAGTTTGAATCAGAAAATTCACATTTTGGAATGTACTTTTCGAATTATCCGATTAAATAACAAAGAAACATTGAGAGAAAAAGCTTTTGGAGTTATCTAGCTGAAATTTCAAAATAATTGTACAAAATTGCTTAAAAATACTAGGCATATAATTTTAAATAAGCTAGTTCTGATAACCTAATATTAGAAAGAAAAAAAAAATTAATTGTTATTCAAAATTTGAATCTAGGCTCCAAACATGTTAGGATACAAGATTTGCAATAACACTTTTGGTGTCTTTGAAAATAATGTAAATTCTGCAAATTTGGAATTATCGAATGACATTTGAAGGCACAGCCTTAAGCACGTCATAGGTCAAACATTTCAAATGTTTCCTTGTATATTCTGGATCATGCTGAAACTAATACCAGAAACAGGTTCTCGAAAAATAATTTTGAATTTTTTTTATGTGATGCGAGTACTGTCTAGCTAACCATTCGCTGAGTAAGATTAAGAACCTTATTAAGTTAAAATGCTGCACATTTTCCATTAGTTACCGCAGTTATTTATTTTTACAACGTCCAGTGTTTGTTATCTAAACAAAAAAGGAATTACCTTGAATTAAAACAATACACATTCTGATTTCTCAAAGGATTTATTATGTGTTGAAAATGTAGGTTATATATTTACTATGTCTTCTCTAGGTTACTTTCCTAATATTAATTGCTTTTCAGTTAATGAATTACCAATTTTTTTGAAGATTCTCACAATTTATAAAAGCTCACGGAAAAGATAATAAACTTTACCTAATTAATTTTTGGGAGATACTGATAATAGGCCTATTTACCTATCAATATACGTATACGACATACAGGTTTGCTTCGAGTGCCTTATCTCCTATGATATCCCTTACGGCACTCTTCCACAGGTTGGCTTCAATTCGACCTTGTCTTATAAAATCTACAGTTTTTTTTTTTGAAAAATGACATTGCTTACTCTATCCTTGTCCGACCTCTCCACATCAGTGTGGATCTGAAAATGTTTATTTCTTGATGCCAAAATGCAAATTGAAATAAACTACTTATGTCAAGATGTCATCAAAATATAAAATATTCCTGCAGGGTATGGCTAATTGTTAATGAAAAAAAAAACTAGTCTTTCATCAGTAGAACTATAAAAATTACCATAAAATAGATTGAAATTATTCAAATGTAAATAATTTATTTTGTATATTTGTATTTGTGTTGTATTGCTGTCATTGCTGATAATTAATGCTGATAATTAATTCTGATAATATGAGCTTTGTTTTCGTTGCAACTAGTTCTGGAACCCTTCGAAACAATTGAACAGAGGAGTATTCATAAAAATTGTTGGTATAATAGCAAACCAAACTCAATTATTGTAGCAGTGAATTGCTAATCTATATAGAACCAGTTCTGGAACCAACCGAATCTATTATGACGTAGGTATATCTGTTTTTTTTTTGCCGAGTGACATCGAAGAGGTTTCCCAATCAGACCCTTTAAATTTGATTCCCGCGAATTCAAATTGACGTTATACAGGGTGGAAAATTAAAAAGGATCCACCTGGATTTTCTCGAAAATTATCAGGAAATTAAAAAAACGCCGAAACACGTCGATTTTGTTTGCAAGGGGGACATTTTTTGGCTATTTCAAAATTTTCCTAGATTGCACCCCCTTACAGGGGTGAGTTGCACCCTCAAAAGTTGAATAGGGAAACTGGGTCGAGTGGAACCTTGTTTGAGAGGTATTTGAGATGACTTTACAGATCTGTCATTTTTTCGAAATCTGACTTCTAGTTTTTAAGATATTCGCCTCGGAAGTTGCCATGGGTCGAAAAGAGAACGTGTTTCTCGTGAAAAAATCAAAAGTGGGTCATGTTTGAAAGATTGTTCAAAAGGTTCAAACTAACAAAGAAACAAAGGTTCAAAATAAACAAAATTGACGTGTTTCAGGAATTTCAATTTTTTCTTGTAGAAATGTACGAAAAACACGTTCTCTTTTCGCCCCATGGCAACTTCCAAGGCGAATATCTTGAAAACTAGTAGTCAGATTTCGAAATAAATTACAGATCTGTAAAATCATCTCAAATACCTCTCAAACAAGGTAGCACTCGACCCAGTTTTCCTATTCAACTTTTGAGGGTGCAACTCACCCCGGTAAGGGGGTGCAATCTAGAAAAATTTTGAAATAGCCAAAAGTGTCCCCCTTGCAAACAAAATCGACGTGTTTCGACGTTTTTTTAATTTCCTGATAATTTTCGAGAAAATCCAGGTGGATCCTTTTTAATTTTCCACCCTGTATGCAATTATAATGTTTCGAAATCATTTTTGGAGGGTCAAACTGACGAGTATCGAGTTAAGAAATTAGACCTACTGGAACAGGAAAATATACAGCTACAATTTTAAAATTACGCGATTTTTCCATTCACTTTCTTCTTTTAGAATCGGTGGCTGTGAAAATATGGGGAGATTATGGTAGCTCTGAATCCTCAACAAGGTTTGATTATTGAAAATATGTAGTTGATTTTTTTGTCAGAATGAAAACCAGATTGCCAAATGTTAGTATTTGTATTAAATTTTAATGGAACATTTCATACTATTAGCCAATATACATTATTGACAATTGTAGATAACAATTAATTTCCTCATTGAAAAATAAACATACTCAAGTGATTTATAGAAACATCATTCTCATAAGTAGTAACGTAATTTACTTTGACTTTTCTTGTTAGCATCATGTCTTTGTAGTCAAAGGATTGCGCATTAAGGAACTTTACGATTATCTTCATGACCGTCATTAAGCAAATATGCCAATCGATATTGTTTCAAAACCATCATCCAAACAATTAAACAAAACAAGTATTCACAATAACTACGTGTCCAAACCATGTAGTTGTTTTCTGCTGATTTCATCTGTAATATGATTTCGGACCATTTAAATTCGATTTTCGAAGGTGGTAGCATCAACTTTGATTTTTCTGTAAAATTTCTGTGATTATTGATTCAGGCATCCTTCAAATATACCTACCTACCTACTTATGTAGTTGAAAAATATTTTCAAAATTAAAATCGGCAGCAAGGTATTAATAATTTGCTTTGACAGTCTCAAAACAGTTTTGTTGTCATTTTGGAAAACAATGTTGCCACACCATTTGTGGCTTTCCATGACCGCCTATTCCAGAAAAATTAAGTGTATAAACAGAGTATATATGTATCGTCATTACACCAGGAGACATAATATATTAAGAGAGGAAATAACTATAAATACTGTAATAGAAACTCGAGTAGAAACTACTTTTGGTGTCGGAAATTAATTGCAGAACACTAATGGATGATTTTTGAAGCTTCATACTTGGCCTGCCCTTTTTTTATGTATACCAGACCGGATTTTTGAAATAAAAAAAATGTGCAAGTTCCCTAGTCTTTCAATCGATATTTCTGTACCATCTGGCTGATATTGTTAATGTCAATTATAAATAGAAATAGCAAGTTCTTATTTTTGGAAAATTCGTTTCTAACAATTACAAAATTTCAATTTCAATTCTTTTTTTGCATTATTATTGGTTATTTAAATTAAATTTTTACAATTTTCCGGAGCACCTTTTTTTTTTTGCTGGTTGTAAAATTTATTTTTCATCGCTAGTTTGGAAATATTTATCGAACATTTCGCAACTATTCGTGAAAAGTAGGATAACTTGAATATTCAATTGGCTTTAAAACGTGTCATTTTATATTATGTCAAAATTTTGAAAAAATATACTTCATTATCCATATTTTTTTTTAAATTTCAGATCCCAGAGTAAGTGATTGGCCAATGATGTCCAGTCCGTTACCCACCCTAGGTATATGCTTGTTTTACGCTTATTTTTCAAGAATTCTAGGTCCAAGATTAATGGAAAATAGAAAACCCTTGAACCTTAGGAATATTTTAATTGTTTATAATCTCATGCAAACTCTGTTCAGTGCTTGGATATTTTATGAAGTAAGTCATTTGATTTCGAATTGTTTGAAGAAGTGTAAAGCAGCTTGTGTATTTTTAGTACCTTATGAGTGGATGGTGGGGTAGCTACAGCTTCAGATGTCAGCCTGTAGACTATTCTAACAGTCCCATGGCCTTGCGTGTAAGTATTTTTTTGTTTAAAATTACATATATTTGTAAAAAGTATCGAAAAACGTTTTGCTATTATAAATCCCAAAATTCTCACATGTAATGAACCTACAGTTGATCATTTTCCTATAAAATTTATTCAACATTCCATAGATAATATAACTATTGGAAATAAATATGTGAATTTTATATCCTAGGACTCATTGATAAGCTGACTTAATGTGTCATTTCATTATTATCTTTTACTTTATTAGCATCAACATTCAAAAAGTGTCACTTTTTACATTGAATATTGGCCTGTTAAAAATGATTATCAAGCTCCAATACCTCAATCAGATAAATGAAAACTTTTGTTCAACTATGAAAACAACTTCACGAATGCAGAGAAGAGATAACCCAACCAGAAATATAGGAAAAAATTAGGATATACAACAGGCTAGTAATATATGTATGTAAAAAATAAAATAACCACAAATGTCGCTATTCATAAATAAATCCATTCCAATAACTTGTATTTATTAACCTTTCATTTCGTTTTCTTGAATGTAATTAGCTCAGTGATTAAAGTTAACGAATAATTTGATGTTATTTTAACTGATCCAAAATGTTCCTCTATTATGTCAGATTTTGAGACAGGATTTATTGGTAGAATATTATTATACAAAATAACTTTTCCTATCAAGGCGCTGTAGGACACCTTTAACATTAAGCAAACTTCGATTATTGAACATTAATTTGTATTCTAGAAATATTTTTTTTAGTCTCACGTCAAGTTACAAATTTTGATATGTAAAACTAGCGAGCTCAAGTCAAGAAGAAATATTTGAAGCTATTTCTAATTTAAGTAGGTACCTTGGTAGGTACTAATTAAGTGCAATTTGGAGCCACCAATTAATATTAATAAGGTAGCAGTTCCAGTTTATTATCTTTTTTCAGAGTCATTAAAATTAAGTGCTTGGAGACCCTACCGACTAAAGGTTTAAAAAAATACATGTATATATATATATTTTTTTTTTTAAATTTTATATCGCCATTAAGTTTTCACTACTTTTTCCATTTCTTCACCGGTTTATAATGCCATTACTAGGCCGTCTCACAAGATAAAAGTTTATTTTCATGATTCCTAATGTTGAAAATATTTATAGAAAACAAATATTAAAAAAAAAATAATTGAGGTTTGATTGTTGAAGGTGTCATACAGCGTATGCCTTAGATAAACTGACACATTTTGCAGGTAAAATATCTCGAATACGAGAAAAGATAGCGAGATGCGGTTTGTTCTGGGGGAATAAGGATTTTCTAAATTTTTTTTTTTTTTACAGAATTGCCGAATGCTAAAATTTGCTGAAATTTGGTTCTACAGACAAAATGTATAATTTTTTTAAATTACATATCTTGAAATTACATCGTAAAAATTGCATTTTATTCAAGAGGGTACCATCGACTGGCCAAAAAAAAATTGATGATTAATTTGTGTTTAATACTTTTATTAGAAATCAAAGCCTAGTTGATGGTACCCTCTTAAATAATGCAATTTTCACAATGTAATTTCAAGGCAATTAAAAAAATATATACATTTTTGTAAAATACAGAAATCTGGCTTCTTGAGAATGACATGATACATACATGGTATTTCATTTAAAATAAGGCAGCAATTTTATTTTAAAAAATCTCGAAAAAAATCGCATGTTTATAAAACTAAATTCCAGCAAATTTTAGCAATTGGCAATTCTGCGTAAAAAATACTTTGAAAACCCCTTATTCTCCCAGAACAAATCGCATCGCGTTGTCAAGATATTTACCTGCAAAATGTGTTAGTTTATCTAAGGACGCCCTGTATATTAATTCTAGTGGTACTGTTTTGTTTTTTTTTATTTACACGAAAACGAATTTTTCACCAAACTATTGATTGGTGGCCCTAAATTGCACGAAGTTATAAAAATTGGATATCTTTATATGTTCTCTTAGCTCGAGCTTTCTAGCTTCACATAGGTACAGGGTGTTTTTTCATATATTGACACCCTACCTGCAGCCTTTACCTTGACAGATAGAAGAAAGGTGTAAATGCAAAAGTTTTAGGATTTTTTTATAATCCATCTTCAAAAAGAACAATTTGAATGTTGGAAACGTCAAATTTTGGATTACTTCAACTTTTTCAAATAAAACGCCCTGTATCTTGTTCCATATTCTTGAAGAGCTCAATTTTCTAATTTCAAAAATATAAAGTTAGCCTATGATTGCTTCAGCTGTTTTAGGATATTTTTTAAATCAGAATATTAAGCTCTTTAGGAATATGGAACCAGATACAATGCATTCCATTTAAAAAAAGTTGGAGTAATCCGAAATTTGACTTTTCCAACATTCAATTGTTCTTTTTGACGATGGATTATGAAAATTTAGATAAAATCCTAAAACTTTTGCATTTACACCTTTCTTCTATCTGTCAAGGTGAAGGCTGCAGGTGGGGTGTGGGTGTCAATATATAAATAAACACCCTATACCTACCTGAGAAATGTCTACCAATATAAGTATCGCCAACCTAGTTGCTACATTTCGTCCCCCTTATCACGTAGAGGCGTATCGAAATTCGTAATTTTTTTCAGGAGACGATAAAAATGTAAAATGCACTATTTGTAACGTTATCTGGTGTTTTCATCATTTCGTGGGATCAAAAGTGTACCTCAGAAAAGCCTAAATTTGTTGAAAACGCAATTTTAGACTTTTGTGTTAGATACGCCCCTACGTGATAAGGGGGACGATTTATTCAAAAAACATCCATTTGTTCCTCTTAGTGAAACCATTATTTATTTTCAGATGGCAAGAACATGCTGGTGGTATTACTTCTCAAAATTCACGGAATTTTTTGACACCTTTTTTTTTATTTTGAGAAAGAAAAGCAGTCATGTCTCGACTCTCCATGTCATCCATCACGGTTGTATGCCGTTTTCTGTTTGGATGGGTATGAAATTTGCTCCAGGTAAACAAGATTTTTTTTTCTAAGATTTACAGATTCGAAAATGAAAAAAATTGAGCTCTGAATATTCAGTAGGTATCTTATTCACCTAACATAAGCATATACCTACATTATGTCTTGTTTGTTGACAGACAAAAATAACAAATATGTGCAGGGTGACAATTTAGAAACTTACATTGGGCTAAAACATTTTCAACAAAGGGTGAAATTATTGGCAATATAGAAAGGGAATTAAGATTATGCTATTAGTATTTGAACCCCAGCCGCCCTCGCTCTAACAGTATCGTTATATTCTGAAATGGAAACTTCGTGCTTGCGATACCTTACTCTGCAGATCCTAAATACTTTTCAATGGTACCATGTAGAATCCTATTTGTCCGTGCCCGTGCCTGATAATAGTATCGGATTTCAAATTTCGCTGCACCATCCAGTAGGGGGGGAAAGTTGCTTGCTCTAGTAACGTGTAGTTTATTCGAAATATAAGCTTGAGAAAAAGTAAAAACGATTTTGCAAAAATTCAGTTTTTATTACTTGGAATGTTTCACATTCGAAGCGGCATTTTGTTGAGCCAAACATTGCTCAACTTTGTCCCAATTTAGGTGAGCCCGTATTTCTTTCAGGTTCCGACTCCCTGTATATTATAACAAAATTATTTTGTTGCTCCTTATAATTAGTGCGTTAAACTTAAGAACTATATTGACATATTTACTTATTATATACCTAGCTATTGGCTATGTACAAAATATTTAGAGAAAACTAGAAAAATGGAACCTATAAATTGAAAATACGATTTGATTTATTCCAGGTGGCCATAGTACTTTCTTCGCCTTGCTCAATACCTTCGTGCACATAATCATGTACTTCTATTACATGGTATCGGCCATGGGTCCCAAATACCAAAAATACATATGGTGGAAAAAATACCTAACATCCTTCCAGATGCTACAGTTCATTGCTATTTTCGTCCACCAGTTCCAATTGTTGTTCACAGAATGCAACTACCCCAAATCCTTCATGATCTGGATCGCCATCCATGGGCTTATGTTCCTTTTCCTGTTCTCGGATTTCTATAAAGTGAATTATAGCAAAGAACCAAAGAAAGCCAATCAGGGAGCTTGTATGGTAAGTCTTCATTTCTATTCTATTATTACTTTTGTGATATGATTATATAATAAAAAACATAATCTGCTAGATTTTGATGCAGCTGATCCAGGCATTGGTAAAACAACTTTGGTTTTGGCCATTTTATAGCCATTTTATTTCCTGGTGGGATAGTGCTAGAAATGCATCTGACACTCTCTGAAAATATATTGTTTTTTCCAGCCTGTGGATGATGACACTTCAAATGGCACAGCAAATAAATCCACTAGCAATGGCTTATTAAAAAACACATACATCCAGAGCGAGTTCTCAGACTCGTACAAAGCGTGCTACTCGAATGGCAGCACAAAAGGATTCGTCACACAAACAATTGAACAGCACAATAATAAGAAGATAGAGTAAACTAGGGCAATCTTTGTGATAAGTACCTAATTTATTTTGTAAAAAAATAAAAATTCTAATCTGTTTGAATTTGGAGTCACCATGATTTTGTTTTGAAGGCACAGTGTAATAGGTAATGTAGGGCAACGCAATCTACATTTTGTCTAAGTATTATTTTGCAAAACATGTCAAAAACATTATATACGTACTTTATATTATACAGTAGTTAGCTTATGGTTTATTGAGTATAGTGATTATGAAAATCGGTTCGTCAACTTACTTCTACTATAGAATAATTATATTTGTATGACTTACAAAGTGAATATTCAAACATTTTCAAACGCCTAATAATTTCTGGAAACAAAACATCGTTTTCTGAATAAGTCAAATCAAGTGAATACCGTGCCTTTCATCCCTAGTGGTTATTGGAAATGTTCATATTGTTCGACCTAGACATTTTGGATTTTAAAATAAGATTAACACTTCAGCAACTTTATGTATAGTTTTATCGAACTGACAACATATTTTCTACTAGAACTTCAAATTAACAACCTCAACTGCTTAATTGCTATAGAAAATTATTACAAATTTGTCTAGGTCAACCCGGTCATCTTTTCACGGAATATTTTTTTTCTGCCTGAATGTAGATTTTATTAATTTGTAGGTATTTGAGTAGATTTACTTATTAGCCGACCTAATTGCATTTACGACTACTCTTTGCTATAACGCGTTATTCACCAGCTTTATACGTAATCTTTCCATGCAGTTTTTTTTTGTGTATGCACAAAAAGCTTCAAAAGATATTTTACTCTGACTAAGTTTTTAACAAGAAAAATTACTGATTCCAATGAATTCAACATTATTTCTTCGGTTATGGTATAATTGGTTTTGTTTATATCACAAAATTGTAGGTAGTATGAAATAATGTATGCAGATTCGTTCTTTTGGATCAAATGTGTCTTGTAGAAACAAAGTCATTTTTAACAAACAGTATATCGAACAAAAATTATTGCTCTGTAAACGATTTTTTATGGTAAGATTTAGTTTTAAACTCCCATTGTAGGTGTTAGTATTGTTTTAGTGTTTTCATTTTACATACATACATATTTTCTGGTATTATTTTTATTATTAAGATTATTATTTTTTTATATGTATTAGGTTTACAGTGTCTGTGAAAAACTTGAAAAGGCATCGTTTTCTAACACACTTTGAGATTTTATATATTTTTTTTTCTAATTTCAAGATCAGCGCCTGAAACTTCTCCATAATTTTATCAAATTAGCAGGGGACATGAAGAGGTTAGTAAAAAATTGACGTGTTCCACAAATATATATTACAAATTAGTATTTAAAAACTTTTTCACAGACATTGTTTTCACTCTGCAGTTGTAAAAGGTTTTTTCCTTCTTTCAATTTCTGAACGCTTATTGTTTTGCAACGAAAATAAACTATTTGGATGTTTCGGGCAATATATTGGCTCAGATGTGAAGATAACAGAGAAAAATTAATCAATTTAAGACTAAAGCCACAAGTTATTTAATTTTCTCGTCATTTATGATTATAGTGTTGTGTGTCCTATCTTGTCAATACAATATCACAGCAATGCATTTTAAATGGCAAGTTTAAGTAAATCGAGTGTTTAAATTACTGAGGAAGTGTTTAAACTTTTATTGTATAACCTGGCCTTAAACACATAAATCTAGAAGTATTTTTTCTACAAACACTTTTGAAACTGTATTCTAGTGACTAAAAGTCATAAACCTTTTTTTTTTGTCTTGTGGTTAGTCATTGAACATTGGCTAATTTGACAATGGTGTCCGAAAATGGCAAAATATATTTTACAGTATTTGTAGAAAATACATTAAGTATGTAGTTATTTCGGGAACTTTTTTTTGAATGGCTTCCAATCATCATGAATTTTATAAATAACTCTCAAATACAATGTTATTAGAGATTTCCATAGTTTATTTTGCAAACGTTCTGAAATTAAATGGGATCCACTTTTTTGTGATTACTCGTAGAAATATGTATATGTATTTGTATATTGTAAATGACCCAAAGAAGTAACATTTAGCACATTAATTCGACGCTAACAACGGAAATTATGCTCTCAAATCCAATTAAACTTTAGCCTTTTGATAACGGTTTCTATAGAAAGTACATTCAATGTAAGTGGAAAGCAAATTTTCATATTTAGAATTAATCTATCAATTTCCTTCCATTTCTTTCATTTTAAGGATTTTAATTAGGTGATATGTAGCCAGTAAACTTTGCTTAAATATTTTATAATTTTCTTGATGGTCAGTGTATATTCATTTGGTGAACTCAATTCAAGAATGCACTATTCACATAATTTTTGGTATAAAAATTGATTTGTAATAAGATCTAATAGAGGTAAAATTTACAAGAGCATTGTAACAGTATTTATTGTATACCTATTTATTTTTCTACTTTCCTATAACTGATACTAAAGTGTTCAAAATGCTTTGGTATATCAAAACATTATACAATATATTCAATACCTAGTTCTTGTTTTGATTTACATGTTAGATATTATAGGGAAAGTACAAAAGACTTGCTTCATATTTCTCTATTTCTTTGTTATAATCTTGAAGAGAATTGGTGTGACATTTAAAAAAAAAAAATAAAATTTTGGTATGTATCAATTCATTTATTAAGTAAGTCTAAGTACCTACACCCTGCATAAATATTATTTAGAAGACTTAAATTTTTTTTATATTTTTAGAAATATGTCTTAGAATAATAGCACTTTTTGTTTTGTTCTATTTGATCTATCATTATACATTATACTACACAGCGATGTTGAATATTTTTGATATGTTGGTGACAGAGTATATTTTTCTGTTAAATCATAAATCAATAAAAAAAAAAGTATTTCTGTGTGTTTTATTGGCAACAAAATTTATTTTGGCACTATAAGATCATGAATTTCAAATCATGTAAGAGCTCTACTTGAGTCTCTTTGGTTTCCTGTTTTGCAGGCAGGGGAAAATAGTCCCCATGACTGTGTTCATCTTGCGCTTGGCTTGTTTCATGTAGCATTTTCAAGTAAGTTTTCTTATTTATAGTGGTGGGGATTTTTCGCCTGAACCCTTTCCAAGAAACTTCTTGTTTTTTTCTGGGTTTGTTGAACATGCAGAAAGTAGGTAATCAAAGCGCATGACTTCTTCATTTATCTAATTTATCTATTCAAGATCTATTCGACTTAATTTGGGTTTGCATTTTTTCATTACATGGAAAATTTACTTTGATAATGTCCTTATACTTGCTAGTCATAATTTTTCTGTTATTGTTTAAAATTATGTTCCTGTACGTCACACTACTTATGAGAATTTGAACATCTAGAAATACTCCAGAATCCACTCATGCAATTGTATTCGGTGGTCTTTATTTCTTAGTTTATTTGGCTGGAGGTTTGAGGACTTTGGACCCATCCTTTTTATTCATTTATTTGTTTGTTTGCTATTACAGCTAGGTACCTACCGAGGTACTTACCTACCCAGACAGAAAACTTCAATTACTGGGTAGGAATATAGAAAAGATACCTATAACAAATCAATTTGGATAAAAGGCAAAAAAGAAGAGAAAAGAAAGAAAAAAAAATGATGTTAAAAATCCTAAAATGGTAACCTAAAGTTAAATAATATATACTTCCGAATCATTGATACACTACAAGAAAAAATTATCCCTCATTGATTTTTTTCACAATTTTTGCATATAACGTACGTAAATTTGTTGTAGGAACAGGTTCCTAAGTAAAATAAGGAGTGGCTCATTCGTGTCCGCAGAGATGTCGCACGAAATTCGATTCTTGACGAGAGCTCTGGGCAGTCAATCTTTGTTGATTATTTTGAAAAGAATAGAACAACAGAATACTCAGTACGTTTCGAAAGAACATCTATAAAGGATATGCATTATTCAGTCACCCTCATCGATCTGACACGCTCCTATGTTTGCTTTGACGACATCAGTATCGTTTGAATTGCCGTCCTTCACTGCGTTGACCATTTTGTTGTGTATACATAACACATCAAATGTCACGCCCAGGTCCTCATGATTACCCGATGTTAAACTCTTTTAGTCAGTTTTCGATATTACAAATAAATGTTTAAGCAGGCTTATTAGAGCAAGGAAATGACAACCACCACAATTTTCACTGCTGGGGTTCCTTGGCGAATTTTTGAAATCAGAAATTTCGATGCTTGAAAAGTACTGTGTCGCGAAATTAGCGCACTTTAAGAACGACAAATATCGGATGAAACTTCATGGAGCCTCTAGCTCTACTCCAGTAAGAGCTAATAATCTGGACAATTAAAAACTGAATAAGGTGGCTATGTGATATTGCACCTGTATTGTGATGGGTCAGCCTCTAGCCAGGTTGCCAAGTGGTCAGCTCCCATGACCCCAAACGAACCAAGGTACACTACCAGGGGTCGCTACAGGGAACTCATGACGAAACATCCGGCTTCATCGAGAACCACCACCACGACTACCTCCGCCAGTCTACTGTTACCTACGTGACGATAAGCACCTTTTAATGCCGCCGCTCGCTACGGTCCTCTCCGCGAACGTCCAAGCCCTAATTCATATTATTGCATAACTCTATATATTATCTGTGACATTAATTATTAAACGCTTTAAACAGTATCTCGCTTTTATTCACACAAGCTCGGTTATCACATATGGCGACGAGGTAAACGGAAAAAAAAAATTCGCGTAAAAAAAAAAAATTGCAAAATGGCGTCGTCAAGTATAAAGTTTGCCGAATTCAACGTGGAATCCGACGACTGGATCCTGTACGAGGAAAGATTAGAGCAATACCTAGCAGCTTCTAACATAAAGGAGAATGAAAGCAAAACTGCCAATTTAATCAGTGTTCTGGGCACCCAAACCTATAAATTGCTCAGAAACCTTTGCTTTCCGTCGCTGCCTAAAGAAAAAAAATATGAAGAACTATGTAAGTTGCTTAGAGAGCATTGCTGTCCCAAGGCAAATGTTTGGAAAGAACGACGACGATTTTACGAGGCCAAACAAGACGCTCATGAATCCATAGCTGACTGGTATGTTAAAATTCAAAGTTTAAGTGCCAATTGTAGGTTTGATGCCAACCTGAGCAGCATTCTGAAAGACAAATTCATTAGCGGATTGATCATGGGGCCGATTTTCGAACGTTTATGCGAAGAAAAAGAAGACCAGACGTTGGAGAGGCTAAAAGAAATTTCAGCGCAACGTGAGAGTGCAAATGTCCGCCATTTTCCATCCGACATCCTTTTCCTTAAAAAACCGCGCAATCATGGCCATGGCGCAAACCGAGGAGGAGGAAGCCAATCGCAACATCGCATGCGCAGCGGTCAAAATAGAAACTTCAGTAGGGCGAATGGGAATGACGTTGATGGTGACAGAACTGACAGAAGGAACAGAAACGACAACCGACATCAAGATGACAGTTATCACGCTGGTTGCAAGATTTGTGGAAACAAACACCGTGGTTTATGCAAGTTTAGAAATCATGGTTGCGACAAATGCGGAAAAAGAGGTCATCTGGCGAAGGTATGCCGAAGAAAACAGGTAAATTACATGGATGAAGAAGATAAAGAAGACCTGAGGTACGTAGCAGTAGATTCAAACCCATCAGGCGCAAACGATTATGTAAACAATGAAGTAAATGATAGACCTTTGTTCAATGTATTAAGTAACAGTGATAAAGACAATGACTTTAGAGTAAACATTAAAATAAATAATCAAAATTTCAATATGTTATTGGATTCAGGTAGCTCTGTCAGCTGTATGAACGAAAATATTTATAAAAATTGTTTTGAAAATAAATATAATGTAAACAAAGATGATACTATCCTTAGAAGCTACAATGGTAGTGTTTTTGCGCCGTTGGGATTTTTTGTTGTAAATGTATTTTATTTAAATGTTTGTAGGGACATAAAATTTCATGTGGTACCCAATGGTGGTCCGTGCATTTTAGGTAGAGATTTCCTAAGGGCTTTCAATTTAAAAATTAAAATGATAAATATAATAGATAATGGTTTAAATATTTCAGCTGTAAACAAGGAAATTCAAAAATTGACTGAGAGGTATTCTGATGTATTCACTGATAAGTTAGGGCATTTTAAACACAGCAAAATTTCGTTAAAGCTAGATGAAAGAGCTAATCCAGTTTTTCTCAGACCTAGGTCGGTTCCCCTTGCCTACCAAAAACCCCTAGATGAGCAATTAAACCAGATGATTGACGAAGGTATTTTGACACCAATAGAGACCAGCGACTGGGCGACACCCCTTGTACCCATAATCAAGTCAGACGGAAAAATACGCATCTGCGCCGACTATAAGTCCACTGTCAATAAGTACTTGAAAGAAGACCTATATCCTTTACCAAGGGCCGAAGACTTATTCGCCAAATTACATAATGGAGAGGAATTTACGAAGCTGGATCTATGTCAAGCATACAATCAATTCGAGTTGGATGATGAAGCTAAAAAACTTTTAGTATGGTCGACACACAAGGGCTTACTGCAAATGAACCGAATGCCATTTGGAATAGCACCTGCTAGTAGCAAATTCCAGCGGTACATCGAACAAATTCTACAGGGCGTAGAAAACGTAGCTGTATATATCGACGACATCATCATCACGGGAAACAGTCGGGAAAAACATCTGGAAACATTAGAAAAAGTCCTAAACAAGCTTAAAAATGCAGGGTTGACGGTAAAATTAAGTAAATGTTCATTTTTTCAGCCATCTGTGACGTATTTAGGCCATAGAATCACGAAGGATGGTCTTATGAAAACTGATGACAAGGTCAAAGCCATTCTGGACGCTCCAGAACCAACCAATGTATCAGAAGTACGGACATTGCTCGGTATGGTATCATATTATGGTAAATTTATACCAAATTTGTCATCGACTTTGTACCCTCTGTATAGATTATTAAAAAAAGACGTAACATTTAATTGGGATCTGGATTGCAAAAGAACTTTTAAAAGGATTAAAGAATTAATTGCCTCCGACATTGTATTAACCCATTTTAATCCTAACTTGCCTATATTTTTGACCACAGATGCTTCAGACAATGGTATAGCAGCAGTACTTTCACACAAAATGACCAATGGTGACGAAAGACCAGTGTGCTTTATCTCCAGAACACTGCTGCAGAGCGAGAAAAAGATGTCAACAATACATAAAGAAGCTTTAAGTATTTACTATGCTGTAACAAGATTGCATCATTATCTTATAGGTCGAAAATGGACATTACGGACAGATCACAAACCCTTATGTGCCATTTTTGGAAAACACAAAGGCATCCCTAAAATGTATGAGAACAGACTGCAGCGATGGGCCGCTTACCTATCTGGATTCGACTATGAAATTCAATACATCAAAGGCAAATTGAACACGGTAGCAGACTATTTGTCAAGGTTTCCAAAAACAACCTCACAAATTGAGGTAGAAGATGACAAAATGGTGAGTTATCTTTATTTCACTAATAAAATTAATGAATGGCCATTGAATAATGAGGATATTAAAAAAGAAACCCAGATTGATAACACTCTAAGTAAAGTAAAAAAGTATATTGAGCATGGCAAATGGCCCAAAAATTTAAATAAAGAAATAAAACCATATTTTGATCGTAGAAATGAACTCTTTATAGAAAATGGTACAATTCTATGGGGGCTAAGGCTAGTGATACCCCAAAAACTACGAGAAAGGTTACTACAAGAACTTCACGTAAATGGAGGACACTTTGGTGCATCCAAAATGAAAAACAGAGCTAGATCAATATTTTACTGGCCAGGGCTAGATGCAGAAATAGAAAAAGTGGCGAAATCATGCCATTCATGCATGATCA